GGGGGGGGGGGGGAGAGGTACACCGTGTTGAGTGTAGACAGTGGCTTTGCACTCCATTGTCCCTCGCTTTGCCAGGGACTCTGTACTATACCTAGGAGACTGCAACACAAATGACTGAGAAAAACGAGGAACTTTAGGCATAACATTTTGTACCATCAATGCGTACTTACAACTGTTTGGGATGAAGAGAGGTATTTGATATATGCTGCTCTCTATATATCCTCATACTTTTAGCCTGTAAACCCCAGTCACCTGAGACCTTTCAGCCCTGCTAAGATTTATGAGGCATTCCTATAGAAATCATTATCAGGCCATTCGGTCAACACGCTCAGGCACCTTATCAGTAGTCATCAGTTAGTTGAAACCAAGTTTCGCACTCACCTCAGATTTTACATCTATGCCAATCAGCTGGTGGACACGGAACATCATGCAAAATGGATCGAAGACACTATGAAGATGGTCAACTAACTGTTCGGTTCCTCTAATTCAGGTTGATTATCCCTATTATGAAGGAAATGGTCAGTCTGGCTGAGCCTTATAAATATACCGCTTTCAGTGAGAGAATTGCTCGATAGAATGGAAAGGTGTTCTAAAAGCAATGTCAACTAGATTCATACACCGTGTGATTATCGGGTTCACAATCCAACTAATTAATAGGCGTTGCAAAGTTGTGTTTTCCCACCAATTACAAAAATCTACTTTTCATAGCTCAACTTCACCTTTCGCTGCATTCCGATTACGACTCTTCAACATTTCATCTACGTATTTCTAAAATAATTCAGGTTGTGAAACGGGAACAAAATTATCGGCTTAACTTTAACTTCATAATGAGGATTTCGTTGATGGATAGATAGATCACTGTTGAATTTCAGCTGAGCCATAAGTTTTTGCGTAGGCACGAGACCGTCAATATTATGGGACTCGTTCAATCTGATGAGCTCTGCTAATGACAACTCGAAAAATACCTCTAGAGGGATCCGATTTCCTGAGAATCTTATGGTACCAACCGACTTTTCTGGTAATCGCAAATCAAACGGACTACGCTAAGTATTGCGGGTAGTATCTCCGTAACTACGACTCTTAGACCAACCGGAGGGAAGAAGGCTGACAAAAAAACTCGCGCAAAATGGCATTCATCCTAAAGTAAGCCTACATCAGTCTGAACACCCACGTTTTCAGACTAGAAACAGCACAAATCAGGGTAATCGAAGTACGCTACGAGTAACAGATGTGCTTACCGGATGCAGTAGCTCGAATCAGTCCAGGTGTTTGTGAGGATAGGTTGCCATCATTAGTGTGCACGTGAAAGGGACTGGGATTTTGTCTCCTAGGTGTCGACCAAAAGCAATTTGAGTCCATTGGAAAATTGCTTGTCGCAAACGTATGAGACAAAACGATAGCAGTGAAACTGGATTGTCGTTCAGTAAAATTTTAGACTGATCTGCTTGCGTCAGTCAGTGCACGTCTTCACCAGCTGGCTGTGATGTTCGTCTGATATGTGAAGTTCGTTGGATGGGCCCGTTTTCTTCAGAGCAGCGTTCACCCACCAAACTGACCAATCGAATGCAAGTACAATCAAGCGATAAACTGAGCTCCGCTATGTCGGACCACCCCACCACGGGCGATGACACGTGCACCCCAAAGCGAACTTATTCGCTCAACCGCTCACTTGATCTCTCCACCACCCCGCTCCGTCAAAATCGGTACGTGAGCTATCCTATTGATTAGTCGATTCGCACTGAAATGCTCGGACGAGCCTTGACTGGCCGTCCCAGTACGCTAGTACGTGGCTGAGGCAATGCTCGCATTTAATCGATTCGCCGTGAAATGGAATCGATCACCAGTCATTAGGTCAGAGCTAGACTTGAGTGGTAATCTGTTATTCGAATCTCTTGTGATCGATTCGAAACGACACCAAAACATTTCGACCAGAGGAAAGTAGTATTGTTCAATCGATGGCGAACGTTTCTGCATTGAGATTATTTCTTTTCTAGCCACCCTCCACTCTTATGTGATTAACGTGCTTGTTCCTGAACAATTTCCATATGGTTTATTCTCAAGCTTTGCGTAATCCCACTAGGCTCGAGATAGCCTAGCCATAAGTTGACAAAGCTGGTGTGAACCAGACTTCGAAGGTAGTGTGGACACTAGTCACAAACGAAAAACCAATCACAAAGTTAACGAATGGTTCAAGTGGTTAGAGCGCGGATTTACTGACCGCGAAGGGCCGTAATTCGAACCCAACCTGTCTTTCGACTTCCCCTGTCTAGGCTTGGGCAACCTTGCAGTATCCAAGCCCTAATACCTCCTTCGGGCGGCATAACAACTAGCCACCGGAAAAGTGTTACTGCTGAACAGTTTTTTATAGTGAATTTAGCAAAGTGCTATTTTACTTTTTGAAGAGAAACCATCACGTGGAAGCGATAGTTTTGGTTACTTAATAGAGTACGTGATCTAACATCACTTTTCCAAGCCCGAAACTAAGCATTGTGGTGGGCGGGGGGGTGTTTTCCAGTCGTATCGATACAATGCACCTTGAACTTTTATAATGCCAGCTCAGTTGGATTGGCAGGTTTGGAACAGTCTGGAAACCTGTTGCTCGCTGAGATGTGCTTCGTAACACACGCCATTCGAAACTGTCATAGTAGCACTGGAAATATGGATTTTTTTCATTTGCTTAAGCTGGCCGAAATGGTGGTCGTTCTCTGGAGGGAAAATTATCTCCTCGTAGAGTGAGAGCGGAAAGGAAATCTTATAAAAATGTGACGTAGAATACTCATCGTAGCGCTGTTTACAGTGTCCTGTCTTTTGTGATAACTGAATTATGCCTCTACGTACGATGGCTTCCCGACATCTATCACAATTCCAGCCAGAGGATCTCATCGGATAGTCACCCTATTGTATCGCGGGACGGCACAAACCTTTATCTGCAATAAATGCCACGCAACGAAATTCTGAGTTTCTCCATACAGCCGAGGGACTTGTTGCCTTCAAATGATCGCCTGATCATACATTCTGGCTCACCTTATATCATATAGAATGACTTTCCACCACCTACATGAATACGTCTGCTGTATACCCAACACGAATCTGTGTGCCGTACTTTCATTTGTCGGGCTGGAAGTCAAACCAGCTGCGGCTGTCGCCATGTGGATGACTGTAATCAAAGCCGAAGAGAGATGGAGAAATAAGTCGTCGATTAAACCTAGACAAGATCGATAAAAAGACAGATATCGGTACGAAACCCCCCAAACAAGGGCAACTTCCGCATGATTCTCGTTTATTCCACAAGACGATCAATACCTGACTGCTGAAACGATTCCTTCGAGCGAGTAGGAGACTGAATTTAATACAGCTAGAAATCACAGCTAACTCTAGTGAAAGCAGGAAACGCCTCGCAAACATGCGTTTGAAGTGATCGATGGGACAGTGCCTCATATGATTCCGTAGGAGATTTTATTCTCAGACTCCTTTTGCCAAATCGCCTTGGTCATGGTGGTCCGTCGGTAACTTTCAGAACTTTATCCGACGTTTTTGACATCGATGTATGTCCACAGCATAAATGAAGTTTGGACAAACCGCGTCTGGGTACGGAAAGGGGCCGTAACTTGGTTTGTAACAGACAAAAGCGTTCAAAACGGTACCACTGAACACAAGCATCCTGGTATCTTTATTCGGGCGTTTTTATTGGTTTAATTGCAACGCGATGAACTGTCCACTGAAGCTACAGTTTGAGTTTGTTTGGGAGTATCAATCATCACGTTTCCCCTCCCGAATGTACCTGTAAACAGCAAACTCGCTTCGGTTACGAAGATTGTGATTACTGTTTTAACACCACTTGTTCGAATTTTGACGATCCATGATCACCAATGCAGCAGTCATTCATAGTTGTCCTGACTTTCACGCGGTATTGTGACTGAACTTCCTGCAACAGAAGGATTCCTCAGAAGAGTGCTTCACTCTGGGAGGAATTTGTTTGCGATTTTCGATATACGTCCTGATCTCGTGATCAGAGCTTACTAGTCTCTCCGATCTCTGAGATGATCCATCGACCTCCGGCTAACATCGAGGAAAATCCTCAAATGTGGGAAAGTCTATAGAATCAGTCATTTCTTGGTACAAAACGATGACTGCGATGAAGAGATGATTTAAACAAGTGAGGATTGGAATTTTCCCGCCGACGCGAACAATTTGGAGATTGAATGGGGCAGACCATAGTGACCAAGGCATATAATGTCCTGACTTTATTTGTTATCATGCACCATTTTCCCCTGTAACCTGTCATAAAAAGTGACTGTTGCAGCCCCCGCAATGCCACCCTTACCTCACCTACCGCCACAATTAAACTGCCGCTCTGTAACACGGTTGAGGCTGGACTGTACATGCTTGCAGGTGTTTAATGTATCACCTAATGTGTGTGCCCCTCCCGCTCTCTCTCCCTATTGCAGGTACCATGGACGAGCCACCACGAGCCCCGGACAGGAGGGAGTAGCCCGCTTGTACACCCCCTGAGTGACCTTGACCTATTTTTTACCCCATGACACTTCCTGTTCCGGTTTCGGTTGAATACACGTGTATTGTTGCCAAGCTCCGGTCTTCTCTCCTGTGTCACCCGACCTGTGCGAATGCGTTTTGTGGTGCCGTGCGGATTCAGTAATACCAACCTCTATATCGGTACATCCTGGCGAACGTCGAATACCGCTGACCTCCTGACACCTCACACTACAGCCTCACACACCATGAGTCTCTGGCTCGATTAGCTAGACATGAACTGCCACATCGATTACTGTCGACTCACTGTTAGTGACCCAGAAAGTGGACAATTTGGTGCGGTCTGATAGGATGTTGCAAGCAGGCACAGGCAAAAGCAAGTGACAGTCGCTGTAACGATCAACCATGGTGGTGACGGTGGCTCGCCTGCAAAGGTTAACAGATAAAGAAAGATTAGTCAGAACACACACAAGATTTATTGGAAAATGACTGAACAAAATCTCCTACCTTACCGAATTCTACAGAACTGAGAATATAAACATGTCAGCGATCGGTTTCCTATTCTAATGACCAGACCAGACATGGGTAGTGGACATTTTCATGCCTGAAAGTCTGCTTAACGGGATTGCTAAACATGTGAATGATACCGGGTGTGTAAGCATAGTGTTGTGTCTAGCACTGCAGTTGAGAGCCATAGAAGATTACATACTTGGGGTCTTACTTGTACTGCGTATGCTCAGAGGGTGTTTTCAAGGTCGCACCATCAGGATAGGAGGAAAATTTCTGATGATGATAATGACTCAGACGTTTGCCAACCACTGCATCAACATCGTTATTGACAGCAACATCTGATGTGAGCATTGGTGACCTGAAACCGTGTCGAGTAACTTGAAAAAAGTCCTACGATACAAAGGAGGATGAAATAAAACGGGTAAGAAGAGGGACTAAGATTTAGCAAACATGGGCCATCCTATTGATTAATCGGTTCGCACTGAAACGCTCGAACGACGCTTGATTGCCTGTTCCAGTAGGCTGGTACGGGCCTTGGCAATGCTCACATTTAATCGATACACTAAGAAATTAAATCAATCACCAGTCATGAGGTCAGAGCTAGACTTGAGTGGTAATCTGTTATTCGAATCTCTTATGATCGATTCGAACCGGCACCAAATNGTTACATTCAGCAACACAGTTCGACCAGGGGGCAAGTAGTGTTATTCGATTGTGGGGTGTAAAACTCGACTGAAATGACGAACGTTTCTGCATCGAGATTATTTCTTTTCTAGCCACCCTCCACTCTTATGTGACTAACGTGTTTGTTTTTGAATAATTTTCATATGGTTTGCTTTCAAACTCTGCGTAATCCTTTTGAGCTCGAGATAGTCCAGCCATAGTATGACAAAGCTGGTTTGAACTAGTTCTCAGAGGTAAAATGTACACCAATCGTATCGATTTATGTGAATAAAGCTTCGCAATACAAAGAAGAAAGAATTAAGACTAGGCGCGGGACATATACCTTACATAAAACAAATACCCAACGCTCAATCAGGGAATTTGGACAGAAACGGACAGTATGAATGTTACTGAGATCGGTTAGCCGCCATATCGTTCACTGTGACCAACCAGACAGAATTAGGGACAGGTGGACCCCATCCTGGAAGGCGAACAGCACCGACTACACCCAATGTTTCGCAACACCTTACTGTGTGTGCCTCTATGTTTCCGTCACGTCACTCCGATCGAGGCACGCCAGTCTCAGTAGACATTAGCTTGGCATGCGTAACACGCGGCCCAGTAATGAGCTCCGTTGATACGTCTTTTTGATAGCACAAGTGATTCAATTCTACAAAAACAATTCTGGTCTCTTAGATCTGTGCGTTCACGTTGTCCGTTATACTACTGTCAGTGCGATTGCAACTTCTGAGATCCGTATGGTGTTCGACAACTTCCAATGTCACCCCTTGGATTCTCAGAAGCATATTCAAAGACTACATCTCGCAGTACGACTTTGCACTTTGTGAGCGCAAACGTATCCCAATGGACTGGATGACCTTGATCAGCTTTTCCAGCAATGCTTGATGCTACTGCATTCAAACTTGGGAACAAGGTCGTCTGTGTATTCCAGATCCACAAGGTTCTCGTTCGGGTTGATCTGTTCTTTGGGATCTGAGAAACTTTCGAGTGCTTGCCTCTCATCAATAACGAAAATAAACAAAAGTGGAGTGCGTGGGCATCTTTGTTGACACCATATAAAATCCAACTCTTTCGCCAACGAATTTGTGCTACTTAGCGTAATAAAATCGATAGACAATGAATACCAAGGTAGTACTTTGAGAATTCAAAAATATCGATTCACAGCTTGAAATGACTTAAAATGGTGTAAAAATTTCAACTCGGGGCACTGAAGTAACGGATACAAATGTTGTTGAGCAGAGAGTTATACAAAGGAAGATTTTGAAACGTGTGTTGAATGACGGTGACTTCAGGTGCGTGTGAACACGCGCCAGATATACACAGTGGACACTTGGTGTGGATCGCCAGTTATTGACAGATACCTTACGATACTTTTCGGCAAATAGCTATCCACTAGATACGTTTGGAAGGTTCATTTTGTCCCTGCTGAGCGTTACAAGTCAGCCATACTGTATTGTCTATAGGTTGTGAGTAGGTTTCACATTTCGAACTGAAGCCAGTCTCTGCTGTAAAGCTGTTTAATCGACACTGTCTCCGCATTGCGTTCCATTAACTACTCGCTGTACGCGCAACGCTGGCCGGAACACCCCTTTTGTTTTTATTTGAATCAACTCGTATGTGTCCATAAGACGCCACCTGTCGCCATTTAGCATTGTCCGCGCCGGTTCCTGCACAAGCAAGTCTTGCTTTTAACACCAAGCCCCGAGCATCATGCCTTCCTTAAAATGATGTCCATTAATTGGGTATTTCAATGCAGCTGACACGACAGGAATCATGGAAGTAAGAAACAATGCTGTAGACAAGTGACATATCAGTGGAGCGAGATCTACATCACTTCAGTAATTTGTAGAGGTATATGAATAATCGTAATGAGTAGGCACATATGTCATCACCATCTGAAGCACAGCTGACACTCAAAAATAGACAAAGTTAACACGAAATTGTAAGCAAAGACGGACAGGTGAGAGGATCTCGACATTATTAACTGAGGGCTAGACAAATCTTGGACAGGAACGAAAACCCGGGGAGCGAGCAACAAGGAAGCAAAAGGGCGTAAAAGTGACGCCACCCATGTGTGGTCGGAACGAGTAGGAAAAATACCCCCAGATCACTGTTGATTCACAGGAATTAACAATGATTTCTGATGCCCGATTTTTTCACTCAAATGATTCATGCAAAACTGGTTAGTATATCAATGGATCAACAGCCAAAAATAATCTAAGACGCGAGGTAATCCTATCATGCACACCCGCTTCGCATTCATGGGCTTCGAGAACCAGCAAGTATGCAGTACGTGACTGACTCTCTCCTGCATTCTTTTCCAGACAGAGAGAGAGAGATACTGTCAGTTGAAACGACTCGTATATTTGCCGCACAAGACTTCCACAGAAAAGTACAATATTCTCGACATTCTTGGAGTTGAGTTTTGGGCTTTGTTGACCAAGTGAGGGTCAGTGGAACGGGTAGGTAGACGCTTTAAATGATGCATTACGAGAATTACCATGCGGGTTGAACATATCTACTGTTGGGTCACAGGAACATTAGAAGCCACATTTTCTGCTCGATCAAAGACGGGGAAGGCTCTGTATACTCGGAGCCTCAAAGTACAACCTGAAGGTAATTTTGTTCGGGATACAGGCAATTTCAGGTAGGAGCGATTTGCTGGTCAGACACAGCAAGTCCCTAAAATTGGCTGTAAGTATTCTCTGCCTTCAACTAATTCTGGCATTCGTAAGGTCATAATCGTTCCTGTTGGCCCTGTACACCAAAGCCTTCTTGTTGTCCCAACCTTTGGTGGCCCATGTTATGCCGACTTTTTTTGGGATTCTGAAGACTCCCCGCACTGGCCCTGTACACCAAAGCCTTCTCGTTGTCCCAATCTTTGGTGGTCCAAATTATGCCGACATTTTTTGGGATTCTGAAGACTCCCCGCGGCCATGGACTGCCTACACCTCTGTCCCGGACTTCCCCACCTCCACATAAAGTGACTAGATGTTCTTTTGGAACCCATGGAAGGTTCGCGTTGTCACTTTCTCCATTAATGATAAGGGCCTCCCACCTTCACCGAGTCTTTAGATGTTGTCTCACCTCTTGATCTTGGTTCTTGATTAAGTTATGCTGTGCCAGTCTCCACTTAATTCTACTCATTGAAGTCAATGAAACTTCACGTCAGCCATGGTCACTAGTTCTTTTGTCACACGCTCTATTCGACACCGTTTTCATCCTTCTTTGCTCCCCGATTCCATAGAAAACCCTATCGGCTGACTGCTTGGTCATTTAACTTATTATATCATTGGTTGAAGTTCTGTTGAATTCCAGACGATGAAAAAGTCAGTTTCCAAGTAACAAATGTTCAAAAGTTCAAATGCCACATAAGATTGATGGAAATTCGGGTACAAGGCTGACCCAAGGAGCAATTTCATGTGGAATAGTACCACCTTTGCTGAAGATGGATATCCGTACGTATACCACCGCATCCACCTGTGAACTGATAAAACAGTGTAACTAAACGGACATATGTTTAGACGTAATACACTACTCATAAGGTTGCTGAAATTTCTTCGATAGCCCACGATCGGTTTCGCCCTTCTTGGGAGAATGAGTGCATTTCGCTATCCATTGGTAGTTTCAAGCAGGTGAGTTAATGAGGTGAACATGTTTATCACACCGTAATCGTAAAACGGTCTGAAGTCCAGTTTTAGAAACCAAGTGTTCCCCACATGCTGGTGTTCGGAGGGTTTTGCATGTGAAGACAGAAAAATTTTAATAAATGTACACTGATTGGGAACCCATGCTCCGCTTGACGTACTCAGAGTACTCTGTTAAAATATCTCGAGTGATTAGCTTTCGCCTGTGCCACACATGGGTGGTTCACTCACTGACTAGTTACGTCCTTCCGTTTTCTTCGCTACCTTTAATAGGCAGACTGATAAATCCGGTTTCAGTCAGTACGTTCACTGGTTTAACCGAAGACGGAAATGTTTCAGTCAGTACGTTCACTGGTTTAACCATGGACGGAAATCCTGCCAGCATGACTCTTCACACCGAAAAGGCTTATCCTGGTCGCTCATGGTCACTCTCACGGAGAACTACAGAGTAGGTCAGAACCACTCACTGGAATGCTTTAGCAGACCGCACCAGAAAGGTCACCCTTTAAGTTACTACAATGTAATTCATCCTTGTTTCATCACTGCTCTCACTCTGAGTGCAATCAGGGTGCAATCAATTCAGATAAACTCTGGCTGCCGTTCACAAACGAGACCGGTTAGTGGGTACTGACAACCTGAGAGCTATGTATCCACAGTGTACTCCCATTATACTGCTATTCGTTGTAAGGCACTGTATTTAATAGGTACTATGGAAAACGCTTCATTCTAAATTCCGCCAAGCTCTCTTTCTCTCCGTCCCCTTTACCCGATGTCCATCTTAAAGCTGTGCGTGAATTGCGTGCAACAGCTGGTTCTTGATCTGTCTAAGCAGGCTGGTTCACACTGAAACACTATTGGTTCAATTTGCAATCCAATAGACCAACCAAATCAGGCAGCGTGTAGATGCTGTGCCGAAGAAAACACTGAATTTGAAGTTCGTGTTTCCGGGATCTTCTAGACGTGCCGCAGTCATCTGACGGTTGTTTCGTCAGTCAGCATCGTTCATTCACCAAATCCGTC